ACGCAAGTGGTGTCACACCCGACCTTTCTGACCAGAGTCTAACGCTCTAATCATTGAGCGACAAGCTCGTTGTCTTGCCGGTTTTAGTCGGTCTTTGCCGGCAATACTATTTGCCTAGACTACTGCCCGCTATGTTGTCAACAGATTCTGAGAAATGAGGCCCAAGACAGGCGAGTTCCGCAAGCGGTCGGTGAACGCTCATCAACGAGTTTCAATTCTCTGGATTAGTATCAGTATATTTTAGGGATAGGTAGGTGGGTTGCCTTTGAGTCCTCTATTTGTACATGTGTGTCGTGGTAGAAGAAAAATAGTATCTCAGTTTGCTGACAAGGCCAATTGACCTAAGCTGTGAGGCGGAACATAGTTTTTTTTAAAAAAAACAACGTTATTTTAAAGTTATAATATCTAGGAGGACAAATTTATTACGCTATCCGGACTTTAAACTGTACCACCAGCTCCGAAGCAAGCTCGATCTTATAAATCAGTTTCTACGCATATATTTCATGAAAAGAGTATTTAAAGTTAAAAGTGAAAGCACAATAGGTATACTTACAAGTCATGTTGTCGAAATTGGTTGTCTTAAAGGAATTTGAATAATCATCAGTTGGCACAGCTTTTTTCTAAAATAAGAAGCAAGCGAAAATCAAATTAACAAGACTGATAACATATTGAAAATTTTGGAAAAGGGATTCTAAAAGTTAGAATTATAGAAAATGCCAAAAGGTAACGGGAGTCTTCTTTTAGAACACGGCAGTATACTTTAGCTCGAAGATCATTCGGCAAGAATTCTGTCTTCGTGTTCACTGTTTAAAGGTATTCTCGATGTAAAATCCAATGATTTGAGCTAACACCATCAAGTGGAAGGAGGATTAGTCAAATTAAACCATAGTGGAATAAGTCAATGAAAATCGCCTTGAAAGAGGTACCACATCTCGCAGTACAGCTAGAAGGCTCACTCACCAAAATAGACTGTAATTTGGATGAAGGCCATTATGAACGGCTCACCTTCCTCCCAGCCTATTCGGCGTTCATGTGACGGTATCCGATTGTCAAACTCACATTTTCCGCCTACCCACAGGGCGTTCATAATACGGAAGCGCGTTGCATCACAGTCAAATCATGATTTATGGGTCACGTTTTCATTCTAATAAGGTTTATCCAGTGGTTGTCCCGATAATTATTAAGGAGGGCAGAGGTATCATTGGTAGCACACCTCATATACGCTTGGCTCCGGTTTTGTGTCTTACGGGAAAAAGGTGGGAAAGTAGGTAATAGGTTAATCGTGGTTGTGGAAAGGTAGCGAATGGCAACTCAAATGTGCTTACACAAGGGTAAAGCCTCTGGCACTAATATAAAAGTAATTGTTTCATTGGAACGACAAGAAAAGGCTGATCGCGATTATGTAGCTTGCAATACATAATTACCAACTTATTTCGTTATACATAACCCTAAACCTAACCTTTACCCTAACCGTAAGACGCAAGCCTGAGGCTAAGCGTATGTGAGGTGCGCTACCAATGATACCTCTGCCGTTAAGGAGTATATGCCCATGTACCTGGCGTCTCTGGGTAACAAAAGTACCTTTTTGCGCTAGTTTTGCGTGCATTTATAGAATTAACTCAATCGCTAGACATATTTTTTCTTTTGGAATTATTAAGCATACTGGCAGCACAGATACTAGCCAAAAACCCAGACACGTTTATCACCGGTACTCTGCCACTGGTTGGCACAGCTGCGAGGGATTCGGCTCATCAGCGAATCCCGCAGCATTCCATGTGCAGCTTCTGGCACATACTCGAGTTATGAAGCTGCAGCTTCTTAAATTTCTTAAAAATAAATGTATAATATACAGGTAAGTTTATCCAAGGGCGACGCACTGATCCGCCGGACCCCCCGCAGATATGTCAAAAAGCGGCAGAATGCGCGGCTTAGATCCCGCCAGAGTCGGAGGGCCACAGAAGGGGTTAAATTTATAAAACAAAGCATGTCTACTGTTAAGAGGTAAGTAGACAGTTATGAGAAAAATAAGCTGCTTGAAGTTATAGTAAGGCAGAAGTAGGTCAGCGCTACTTTCTGTCCTGAGGGAGGTCAGAGATTTGCCTCTCAACTGACAGCCTTCCGAGCTTCCGCAGATATTGGGATATCGGGATAAGTGCGTCGGATTCATTATAGTTGTGAAATGCGCCGTGCGCTCTGCAGTGGAAACGGCCAGCCATTTAATGCCGGTATTTGGCGAAGCGCAGGTATTTGGCGTGGAGTAATTTTGTGCTTAGACTCTTCAACACTAGCCTCCTCCCCCCATATGTATCAGTTGGTACGGATTTGCGCCTTGATTAATGCGGGTCATACCCCGATGTGGCCTCCATGTTAGTCCACTGTAGCTCACGCCTCATATGTTGCAGATACAAGAGCATCGGATGCAAGCGAAGATGCGAGTGCCAGGCAATATAATTGAGAATACAGGGGTATTTATTTATATAGACCCCTGTGTGCGTTTACATAGACCCCT